AAATCAAGTTGAAGCTCCATAAGGGGCAATAAATAGATAAGGTAAGGTTTAACAAGGAGAATAAACAAAGAGATTCATATGTCTCACAGAATAATTTCATTTCTAGGTACATTTATTTATTTATTGTATTTTGGGGGGGCAATTAATTGTATGCTTATTTAGTTTTGGAGCATTTATTTATTTCTGTATTTATTTTTAAATATGGCAGAGTTGGTCCTCCATAATGCTTTAACTTTAATGGTAAAAATAATTGTATGCACTGACCATTCTTTGGTGGTACATTACTCTGTCATGTTCAGGAAATATTTGAGACTTCAAAACAAAATGTGAAACAGAATTATGCCAGGAATTAAATGCTAAATTTTTAAATCATATTGTAAAGTAAATGTAAATCCCTTTTATTGTCCCACAATGGGGAAATTCACTCTCTCTATTTAATCTCTCCTCTAGGGGAGCAGTGGGCTGACATTGTGTGGCGCCCGGGGAGCAGTGTGGGGTCCAGGAATCCAGGGTGGAGGCTGTCAGGATCGAACTGGCGTGCTTGCAACCTCCTCAGAGCACAATACACGGCTCCAACCCACTAGGCCAATACTCCACATTATTCAATCTAAAGCAAACATTTAATTGTAAACATAAGATATTTAACAAGTAGGGAAGCTGATGGCGTGTCGGCTCAGTGCTGTGGTCTCTGCATTTACTCCTTATAGGAGTGAGTAGAAAAAGATTTCTTCAGTCAGGCTTCAGTAACCACTGATTCTGGGCTGCTGGGATGCAAATTATGTTTGGGCACAAGTCTGTGGATCCACAACTCACTTAATTATATCTAAAATGATAAAGTATTGCTCTGTTTTTTTTCTTTTAGTTTTTAAAAAAATACTTTTTCCCCATGAAAACCTGTTGAATTCACTCTGAGCAAATCTGGTCTAGAAACACCATAGTAGATATTTGCAGGTCCTGCATCCAATGCTTCGAAGTCTCTTCCCAAAGGGCTGCAGATAGAACAATCCATGGTGGGGGTGTGAGGGGTCATTTATGATGGTAAGGGCTCGGGACAGGCAGCGCTGGGGTGAAATGTCTTTTATGGAGGGAAGAGAAGCCCCAATGATCCTCTCTGCTGTTCTCACCACTCTCCTCACTGTCATCCAGTCTGAGGCTGCAGCCTCCACACCACACAGTGAGACAGCTGGTCACAACGCTCTCTGGTGGGATATGTAATTCACTTTTGACTAGGCAAAATATAACATATTTTGAATAGGAGTTTTGACTTTTGACAAAATTATGTTGCAGATATCAGTAACGAATATTCAGTCTGGTTATGTCTTAAAACAGCTTGTCATACATGTGAACACAGTGGCAAACTTAATCACACTTCCTAATAAAACAGGAGAAGCTTCTGCTTGCTTGTTCCTGGGAGTTATATGAAATATGGAAC